AAAACTTATCTGTTTCCAAAAAAAAATTATATAGGGTTATAGGGATTACAAATCCCTACAACCCCATATATATATATTTTTTACCCATTATTTAATTCAGAAACAATATGGTAAATTCACATCCGCGATGCAGACGAGGTCGCCCGCGCACGCGACCGTATATACGTCCGCCATCCGACATCGACCCCACGGACGCGTCCTCGGGTGTTTCATAGCACAACGACTATTTTTTGCACGGCTCCTGTGCTAGAGACGCTTGTCTCATTCGACTCTGACACGCTAAACAACTGGGTATATAGGGTTGTAGGGATTACAAATCCCTACAACCCCATATATATATACTAGCTTAGCGCCCGCGGTGCGGGCGTTGCGGGCAATGCCCGCACGTAAAAGAGCAGAGAGGCTAGTCAATCATGAACATTGTGTCAAGATCTTGACTCACCACCCACCAAACCCACACCATGGTTCCACATCATGCTGCACCACACGCAAAACCCAAAATGTGGCAATTAAGAAGTGCGCATGAATAATTTTTTTTTTAATAAACAATGGTTGAGAATATTATTATTATTTTTTTTACAGCAGGGTAGGCGGGGAGCTTCTCGTTGCACTTGCATCCATATCTTGCTTCACCACCCACCAAACCCGCACCAGGCTGCTGAGAAGTGCACATGAATGTTTTGATTTTCATATATACTAAGGAATATATGTATTCTTTTTTTAATTCAATTAGCGGGGGGGGAGGGCGCCGCCCCCCCCACCCGCACTCCCCCCCCCCACTTTGGGCTTGGTTCCACATCATGCTGCACCACACGCAAAACTCAAAATGTGGCATCTAACAAGTGCGCATGAATATTTTTTTTTTTCTAAACAATAGTCGAGAATATTATTATTTTTTTTGTAGCAGGGTAGACGGGGGGCTTCTTGTTACACTTGGATCCATATCTTGCTTCACCACCCACCAAACCCACACCAGGCCGCTAAGAAGTGCGCATGAATGTTTTCATTTTCATATATTCTAAGGAATCTATGTATTTTTTTTTTAATTCAAGTTGCGGGGGGGAGGGGGCGGAGCCCCACTTCGGGGTTGGTTCCACATCATGATGCACCACACGCAAAACCCCAAATGTGACAGCTAAGAAGTGCGCATGAAGAATTTTTTTTTCTTCTAAACAATAGCCGAGAATATTATTATTTTTTTCGTACAGCAGGGTAGACCGGGGGCTTCTTGTTGCACTTGGATCCATATCTTGCTTCACCACCCACCAAACCCGCACCAGGCTGCTAAGAAGTGCGCATGAATGTTTTGATTTTCATATATACTAAGGAATATCGGGCTTGGTTCCACATCATGCTGCATCACACGCAAAACCCAAAATGTGGCAGCTAAGAAGTGCGCATGAACAATTTTTTTTTTCTAAACAATAGTCGAGAATTTTTTTTTTTTACAGTAGGGTAGGCGGAGGGCTTCTTGTTGTACTTGGATCCATATCTTGCTTCACCACCCACCAAACCCGCAATTGGCCGCTAAGAAGTGCGCATGAATGTTTTTATTTTCATATCTACTAAGGAATATATGTATTTTTTTTTTAATTCAAGTTGCCCCCCCCACTTCGGGGGTGGTTCCTCATCATGCTGCACCACACGCAAAACCCAAAATGTGGCAACTAAAAAGTGCGCATGAACAATTTTTTTTTTCTAAACAATAGTCGAGAAAAACGATGGTCGGGCGGTCGGGCAGTGGTTCAGTGTAATAAAGAGCAGAGCCTCTTTTTAAAAAAATTAAAAAAAAAAAAAAAAAACGATGAAAACATAAGGGAAAAAAAGGTTTCCAACAAAATTAAAAAGAGCCCGCTATCAATGGTTGTTGTTGGGGTTTGAACCCACGCACTGATGTGAAATATGCAACTGCCCTAACCCTAATCCACCTGTGTGGTTAGGGCAGTTGCGTATTTGAAATCTGTGCGTGGGTTCAAACCCCAACAACAACCATTGACAAAAAGGTTTCCAACAAAAGAAAAAAAAAAACCGCATCCAGCGGCCTAGCTCAGTTGGCAAGGCACGCAAGTGGCATTCAGGAGGTCTTGGGTTCAATCCCCATTGGCCTCATGTACCTTCCTGGGCAAGCTTGGCGCCCGCAACCTAGAGATATGTCGTTGGTCCCCTCGAGTGGCATTGAGCAGAGACTGCTGATGTTCATAGGGGTAGGGGACCGGAGGGGAGACACAGTGACTGGCCCATCGAAGAAGCTCGGTCCTGATGCTACCGGCTGACCCCTGGCCGGTATCGCCCACCTGCTGGTGGATGCAGCTCCCGCATGTTCCCTCTTTGGAGGCTTGAGCACGGATGTGGCTGCTACACGGTTCCCCGCAATACTATAATAATGACAATAACAATAAAAAAGGCCTGAAAGGCCGTGCTATCCAGATTTGACAGGTAATTGAATTGGTTGGGCTTAAAGAATTAGCCTTTCAAGGGGAAAAAAAAAAAAAAAAAAAAAAAA